AAAAAAAAAAAAAGGAAGGTAAAATTGCCTTGCTTATTTTGGGAACAATTGATCTGAGCATTGAAAGGCGATCGTTAAGGCGCTTCCTTCGCCTTCTTTCAGCCATTAGATTCTTGGAAGGCTGCCCATTGTGCTTCTTCACCTTCTTTGTTTTTGGACAGAATAGAGTGCCCATGTTGAAAGTAGTGGGCACCTGATCGGGTGCAGGAAATTGTTCAAATTTACATATATCCGAATTCTGATGAAGAATATCATCGTTACCGAAAAGAGGAGGGAATTGAAGTGGAGGTGACAAATCATAGATTTCATTGAAAGCTGAGTAATTCAGGCTCTGATCAACAGGTAGAAAGGAATCCTGAAAAGAAGTGGTTGCGGGATTTGTGAAAGTATGAAAATTCATCCATTCATCACTGCATAACTCATTATTAAATCCAACTGCACCTGTTAGACCTAATAACTCCTCCAGCAAACCATATTGTTCACTATACAAGTCCATCTCTCTCTCTCTCTCTCTCTCACTCTCAAACAATCACACAGAGGTTGAATTATACGTAGGTTACACAACTTGATAAAAAGTATTGGCATATATATAGGGAGGTCCGGAGGGATATGAAGAGAGGAAGCTGTCTATCTATTATTGATATTTTTAACAGCTATATGTATGAAATTGACAGTATGAGATGTGCCGCTCTTATTTTACTCTATTTGACCGTCTTTTTACTAAGCCTTGTAATTTTTATACATTGGAGCTTTAACTCTTAATTAATAAACAAGAAGACATCAACTCTATTCTATAAATGAAATTACTCTTAAAATAATGTTTTCCTATTTATTAGAGACCAATAATGTTCAATCGAAAGGGATGAAATTAGCAAAATAGACCTGTCAGGTTCTTTGCATGCGTGAACTTCAGCAGTACTATTACTTCCCTGTAAACATAAACTACTTCAGCCTTGACCCAAAAAAATAAAAAAATATGCATAAAGACAAAAAAGTTTTTACAAGAAATTGATTGGATGGGGCCCAATGAAATCCCTTTTCACGAATTGGCTGGTTGGTTTGATGAAAAATTTCAAATGAGTTGTTTTGTTGGGACTCCACCGCCCTATCATGTTTAATTAATTAATAATCTATATATATCATTTATATTCATATAGTTCCACTAGTCAAGGCTGATGATCTCAAACCTCATTCTTAAAACGTACTCTATGAATTATTTATAATAATTAAAACAATAAAAGTAGCAAGGGATCACGTCACAGAATTCAGTAGGCAAAATATATACAATCATAGCATTTCTTAATCAATCATTTTGGCTTCTGTTAATTTCTCTTCCCTTACAAGAATACACCAATACACTATATAGTATTCAGACCACACTTTTTATTTTTTACACCACATTTTAATTGTACTTAAAGTTCTTTATTTTTATCCATTATAGCAATTATATTCTAAAAGTTTTTCACGTCGTTCTTATCATCAAACTTTTCATTAATTAACGCATTTTATATTTGATAACAATTTTATGTCTAAAAGTTAGTTGAAATGGCATAAAACAACTTAGCCCTTGTTTGATTCCACTATTTTCAAAATACATTTTTTCCTTTGTTCTTTTCAACAACACACTTTTTAATAAAATAATATTATATCAAAAACTAAAACTTTTCCTTATTTTTTAATCGTACATTCTTCATCAATCCACTATTTTAAAATTTATTCTTACAATAAAAAGGGACTCAAACAGGCTTTTACTTTTTCATCATATTTAAAAAATAAACAAATGAAAAAGTGCGAAAAAATATTTTTCCATAATTTCGAAGCATGAAACAAAATATTTTCAGATAAATTATCATCAAAGACGAGATGCACTAATTAGTCAAAGATTGAGGACAAGAATTCAACAAAAAAAAGTTAAGTAAATAATTGCTACAATGAACAAAAGTTGAAAAGGTGTTATGCAATAAAAATATAGTGTATCAAAGAAAAACATTAATGACAATATAAACACCCTAAAAATTAATCAGCAAAGTTTGACTAAAGCGCTCTTAAGAGCTTAGACATTTTACTCCTTGTACACTATTTTTTTTATCAGCCCTATTCTATTTTGTTATATATCGATATATATATGTACATGTTAACATGACATTTATTATCGCTTTGGAAAGTTAATGTAACTCATTCTTCTCAAATAATATTTTCTTACCGTTAAACTTTTAGATAAAGCATTTCAATATAATATGACAACTTCCAAATGTCTTAAGTTCAAATTTAATTGTCACTCATATATAAAAATTGTATATGACAACATGTCTTAAACACATTTGATGAAGAAGAAAAAACCCTAAAAGCAAAAGACATGTTACAAATTAAATAAAAAATTATATGACGTAGTTCAATGTGTGTATGTATATAATTCTAATGCGTCACGATTCAACACCAAAAGACCTAATAGTGATTCATCAACCTTAGTCGAAAGAGGAGTGTGTTCGCTTCATTTCCAATAATCCTTCAACAGGGAATTAATTGATTCCCTTAGCACGTCCTGATCCAATTGTATCATTATCATATATTAAACCCTATAGCTAAGTAATTTTGAGAAAAACGTGTATTTTCTAGACGGTGTAACGATAAGTGCAATGTCTACAATGAATACCTAACTAGGAAGAATCTAAGCCACATGCGCACTATGAGTAATGAAAATTTTCACTATATAAATTAAAGAAGTATAAGTTGTATATACTAATTCTATTTGCAAATGGTTGTAATGAAGCGTTAAAAAGGAATAATAGGGAAGAAACAATATTTTTAAGGACCACTACGTTTGTGTTCCACGAATAACGGTTACGTGAGGGTCTAGGGCATATCCATTGCCAGCTTATGTCTATTAATGGAACTACAAATTAATTTATGGTGGGGACACTTCCTTCGAATTCAGTTTTTTTATTTTAAAAAAAGTCATAACATATCATCAATACAAAGAAGGGACTTTTATACCTCCACCTAAACCTAACAAGGAGTTATAGGAGATTTCAAAATTGATCAAGCAAATGCTAAAACTGGCATGCATAAAGTCCAACACTGGAAAGGCATACATTAATTGTCCCTTGATAAATGGTGTGTAGTTATATTTCTTGAGAAAAATATCATATAGAGTGTTGATCTATCGAAATTAAGATGCGTGCACCAAAATATACACAAAATACGACTTATTGAAACACAAATATAAGATTATATAAAGTTCGATCGCGTCGTTAATACCTATTGAATTTATAATTTTATTCCAGCTATAATCAACATATAAATGACTAGGATTATCTAAATCTCATGAAAGTTCATGCATTTACATATTTAAGATTGTCAATTTTAACCACTTTGGATCCTTGAAAGGTGTTGATAGAAATATGTTTGACTATAAGTGAGTAAATTATAATCAGTTTGCAAACAGACTTGTTAGCTAACTATTAACTTAAACTTTTAAGGTTAAAGTAGTTCAAAATAGTACCAGAAATCCAATTCATTAACTTTAAAAGTTCAAATGAATAATAAAATTATTAATTTTGTCAAACCAGCAACCAACTTAAGGGATGTGCTAAATGTAAATGAAACAAATAAGAATAATGTAGAATGCCTTGAGTTCTTTATAAATTGACATTTTAAGATAAAATTTTAAAATTTAATATGAGGTAAACAAAATGAAATTATTGTGTTTTAGTCTCTTAGAAAATTATTAATGAAATTATGTATATATTAAACATTTAGATGATACACATGTGATCCTTATTATAGGAAAGGGACATGTAGAAAATAAAATCCAAAAATGCTATGGTGACAGAATTTTTTTTACATAATGGATGAATGACACTCACATTGGTATGGGAGTCCACTTTTTTTTTTTTAGACTTTTTTATTTGCTCGGGATCCATGCATTGTGAGAAGATGTCAACCATTATGTCAACAAAATTCTAGCAAAGTAGGATAATTCAATGAAATTTATATGATTATTTATGCCGTTTTAAGCTTTTAGAAGAATACGATAGTTGAACACAAAAATAAATTATAATTATATAGGAGGATCTCTTGTGCGCAGAAGTGTGATCCAATTGAGGCATAACTCGCGATTTACTCCCTCCAAAGTTCTAGGAGCAAGAATCTTGGGGGTCCAGGATTTAGTTTAGTGTAAGCTGGGATACCTAAATATAAAAAATAAAAAATAAAAAAATTATAATTATATAGGGTTTTGGCTTTCTCAGCATATACGTTTGCCGACCATTTTCAAATTTCAGAAATTAATCATTAAAACTCAAATTAAGCCATTCGCAAGTGAAGCTACAGAGGCATGATATTTAATTGCCGACAGAACGTCGCGAAATTCTAGGTAGAGGCCAAATCCGCAGCGGTTTTTTTATCAGAACCGCTGGTTTTTGCCAATCTCACAAGCTGGGAGCCCATAGATTGGCCTCAAAACCGCTCTCTTTTCCTTGTCTGAGCCATTTTGTCTTCTAGTTCATTGGTGGTTAGCGTATTCGTCAGGTCAGGAATAGGGTGTAACTGCTACTGTAATACATACAATACATTTATGTCACGTCCAGTTATGGAAACCCTTTACCGGCGTTGTACTAAAATAATTGGCACAAAATGTTTCATTGCAAATCATCTTTGACATTTGGACTCTTAAATAGATCCCACTTTACGCAAATCACGTCTGGCATCTCATTCCATCAAATGATAGCGTGTAATCCGCTCGTGTGACTAATCCAAGAGTAATTTGATCGAGACATTAATTGACCATCTTTTCTTGTTAAATTTGGGCGAGTTAACAGATAATGTTGAAATACTGTTCAATATATACAATGAGGAGTGATTTGGAGCGACTAAATGTTGATCAACCATGAAGAATCCAAAGAGGATGCAAACCAAATGAAAAAAGGGAGAAGAGCAAAATTTTACGCCTCTGCTTTGGAAACCCAACAGTAATGGTTTGTACTGGGCAATCGCCCAATACAAAAATGTAGCCATTGTGTTTGAAATATTGGTGTCGTCATGATATTTCCACCTTTTCGTGCATGGAAATTGTAGTTCTATATATAGGATGGCTTCGTGTTGAAAAACATATTACAAAGATCAAATTGATTCCTTATATCCAAAATCAAATGTCAAACCAGGTTTTATATAATGTTCTTAAAAGTTCATTTTCCAAATTTATTATCTTGATTCAAATTTTGGATTTAGATTTTGATTACTCCAACAAACTATTTGCATTTGAAAGCCTTCAAGCATTTATCCTAGCGACTGAAAATATTGTTTTAGGATAATGATTCGTGATCTTGTTCAAACCTTCCATTATCGACAAATGATATTCAAATTTTCTTATTTCTTGTTCTTCATCAACTTTTGTTCAATAATCTCAAATGATACTATTACCCCTTGTTTGAGCTCCTTTTCCTGGAAAGAATGAATTTTTGAATAGTGTATTAATGGGAAATGTATGGTTACAAAATAAGAAAAAGTTTTGGATTTGTGTGTAATATTATTTTATTGAAAAATGTGCGGTTGAAATGATATCAAAAAATTGTTGAAAAATGTATTTTTCAAAAGAATGGGG